ATGCATATCTAATAGGAATGTTATGGCCTATGTACATTAGTATTTTTATTTCTTTGTTTGTTTTTAATCTTCTATTTTTTATATAACAACATCAATAGAAGCAACAATAAAGAGAAGAAGAAAATAAAAATATGATAAACATCAAAAGACTATTTTATTTCTAATCTAGCTAAACTAATACATATAAGATATCAAGTTTATTTTTGCGTATCAACAATAACTGAACGATGTTCTAGAAAATTAAATAAGATATTTTGTTAAAAGATATTATAATATAGATATTTACTGTTGTTAGATGATATATCTAAACGGCATAGAATAATACCAAATATAACAACAAGTAATATGCTAATGCTACCAATAGCAAGTAATAATGATGCGTCTGTAAAACCTAATGAAAGTAAAAATACAATTGTTATTAATGACTACCCACAACACTGATAGATAATTTTATCTGTCAAGATTTGTAGTGAGAAAAGAATCAATGGATATAATATTACTCATCACTTGATTTCTATAAATAATATGACAAGTATACTGCTTTCAACACCATGTCTCGCATTAAATATGGCTAAAATTATCTTGTCAAGAAAAGTACAAAGATTTTCAAGTAGGATTATCTTATGAATTTGTGTTTTACAAGGCAATGTAATTTTTTTATAGGAAAACGTGAATCAGTTAATTCTATATATTCTCACGAGATAATCTGTACAGTCATACGACTGAAAATAAAAATCGACATGTCCTTTTTCTCGTACATTCTTATCTGATTGATTTGAAAACTAGGACGAGCCTATCATTATTCATGTGCAGTGATTTAGAAAGATTGAAGTCATATAAATCACCATCAAAGAATTAAGAAAAGTTAGACAAGTGTCAATATTAATGTATGAATATGATCGTCAATGTGCAAATAATATATGAAATATGCGAAGAATGCTCACCTGAAAAATATTTATATACAAATTTTTTTAAAAAGATTTCATTTCTACTGGAAATTTATTTAACTAACCAAGCATTTTATCGGATGGTTTAAATGGCGCGTTAGTTGTTTGTTCCATTTTTCGTCTTTATTTCTATTTAATTGAAGATATGTCTTGTCAATTGAGTATATACGATGAAAAATATTGGATAAAATGACAAAAATGTTAGTTTAGGAATATATATATATAATTTTTTGTTTCTATTTGTTGACTTGAATAAATCATTCTTAATGCCTTCTAGGTATTAGATATAATTAAACAAAAGTAAAATTTAGTTTGATATTCAATTTATTTCGATAACGAAGGAGTGAAAATACTTTCACCAATGATTGAAAAAACGGATATCGACTAAATTTAGAATATTCAATTTTTTACTAATCAATTGAACTTGAATTAAATAATTTTAATTAGATGTGCCATGTCAATATTGATACAAATACATTTTTATTACCAGAAGCTATTCAAAAAAAAATTAATGAGTAATCGTTAATATTTTCATATAATATATATATTTGCTGAGTTTTGTTTGAAATAGAAATTCATGTATAATACTCGATGAAATTGACCATTTATTTATCTTCCGAGCGTGTCAGACTACATATACAGTCAAATGCGTAAAATTATTGTAAATAACGTAATAGATTGTAACTATATATTTTTGATGTAATTCAATATCTCAGATGACAGTTATCAACTATATAGTTTTTTGAAATATCGAAAGAGTTCAAAATTGTATCTTTCAAATAAAATCAATAATATATTGATTTTTATCATGCAACTTACTGTGTAAGTTAAACGAAAGACTAAATATTTTTCTTTGATAATGAATCCTACTATTATTTTTACTAATATGTATGAAACATCATAGTTTTTAATAGATGTAATGAGATCAAAACAAGGTTTCGATTGAATAAAATCAAAATAGTAATATTTCTAAGAAACTTATTCATTTCAAGACAAAAACAAACAAGACTGTCAAGAAACTGAATCTGATTCTGTTTTTTTTTATATTGCATTGTACTACCAGCTGATGTGGTCAGTCCGATAGAACTAGCATATCCAAAAATCATCCTTATTACTAGAAATAAAAAAGAATCTGCTATGGTATATCACTCATCGTATGGTACCTGTGTTGTTTTTATCAGGGATTATTGTTGTACAAACTATTAAAAAATGTCTCATAAAGAATTAGAAGACATTTTGGATACATACTCTCTTCTGATTAGAAAAAGGGTGATATTTATTCTCCTTAAAATGAAATAAGCATTCCTTTTCAAATTAGCAGTGAAACTTTCAAAAGCAAAGCGATAGATGTCGCTCATAATTGTGATTTACAAACATATTTAAATAACTACTAAGTTCCTAAATAGAATTGGTCACACGACAAATATATATATTTCTTAATTAGATATTATAATTATATCCTAATGAATTGATTATTCTCTCCTATTGGATAATAATTATCAGCCAGCCATATGGATGAGTGTGTGTGAGTGATTGATGCTTATTCAGCATATTCTATTCTATTTTGAATGATTTACATTTTACACGAAGTACACCTTTGTTTTTCTCGAATCGATTACTCATTATAAATGAAATCTGATTTAATTTTTCTCATTTAACATATTAAAGATCTATTAACAATAAAAAATTTAATTTCAAATAAAGTTTTTTTCCAGATGATATGAATTATGCTAAAAACTTCCGTAGTTTACCTTGGTCAATATTTTTTCGTAATTATTTGATAATTATTTTCGTTTGTCAATCATTTGTTAACGGAAAAAATGATCAAACGAAAAAATCAAATAATAATGGTGATGAAAAACGTGTATTTGATGTAAATTTTGGTACTAATAAAAATTATGCTATCGATGATTGCATACCATTAGCATTTGGAGATTTCAATGCTGATAAAATTATTGATATTTTTTGTCGAAATACAAAAGGTATAAATCTCGAAAAAAAAATTCTTTGCCTAATTAAATCATTTCTAATGTATATAGGTGATACAATTCGTGTAATGGTAAATGATGATCGATCTCCAACATCAAAAGAAATATGTAAAGTGAATATAACAGGTGTTATCTATGATGCATTAGCAGCTGATTTTGATGCTGATAGTAAACTTGATTTATTTGTACTTTATAAATTAAAACCTGATCAAATTGGATACAATGGAGGAATATTATGGGGTAATCGAGTGAAATTAAGTAAGTGAAAAAACCATATTTTAACGATTCTATTATGAAAATGTTTAGATGATCTACAACCGATTGATTATCTATTCGAAAATATTCCCACAACACTTGAGTAAGATTATGTTTTTTTTTCAGTTTAATATTTAATTAAATCATTTCATTTTTTTTCTCAGTGCAAATGGTGATTCTTATGTTGAATTATTAGGCATGATTAGTATCGATAAAACAACATTTAAACCAGCTTGTTTATATCTGTAAGATAATCATATTGAAATACCTATATAGAATTTCTTTTTTTCAGTAAAAATCGTGCTGTAACATCTATCGAATATTTACCTGATGATATTCATCTTCGTACTGGTACAACACAAGCTACAGTTGATCTCAATAATGATCTTGTTGCTGGTTAGTATTTGTATTATAAAACAGCTTTGATATTTTTAATCATTTGTTTAATAGTTAAGAATATTAAATTGATATAGACGTTTATGATTAAAAAAGCACTCGGAAGTTTTCTTTGTGATTATTAAATGTCAAAACGAATAAACGATGTTAAAGAAAACATCTGTATAATATAATTACTTTTTGACAGATAAATGGCTTTTTTAATACTGAATTCTCTTTATCTTGTATAAATCGTATTTTAGTCAGAGAAATCATGTAGTTACTGGTGCATGAACGAGTATAAAAATGAAATTAGTTTGATTTATTCAATTATTTCGAACTAATCAAAAGCAGTTAGACAGATTCAGTAAGATTCGAATTTATAAACTCTCTCAAATATATTTCTGCATCGATCAACACGTTATATAAGAACACTGATGCATAAGTTTATGAACGAGAATTTTCTATCATGAGATAATCTATTGTATTTTTCTTTTTATATTAGATCTATTTTTAACAATTACTGTTAATAATGCACCGAAATTTCGTTTATATGAATTACCAATAACCAAATTAACGTTAATCAAAGAATATGATCCTCCACCAGGCATAGCTATTTATCATTTATCAACATTTGCTGATATAGGTATGAATACAAACTGAATATACTTTTTTTTATATAAAATTCTATTTTTGTTTAGATGCGGATGGTGAATTAGAACATATTCTTCCTGTTTGTATGAAGGCAGATTGTTCCGATAGTCGAATATATGTACGAGATGATGATGAAGTAAGTTAAATGATTTCATCATGAAATTTTGTATTGAAATATTTTCTTAGTGGCATCAACTTCCGATTAAATTTGGTGATGGTGTACGATTTCCTCTTAAAAATGAACTTCCATCACCACTTGATCAAATACCATTGAGTATTAAAATCTCAGATTATAATCTCGATGGTTATCCAGATATTGTTACTGTTATGAAACAAAGGTTTGAAATATTAATCCTCTCATATGTTTTTTTAAATTTATATCTTTTAGTGTATCTGGTAATATTGTCCCAATAATTCTTCAAAATCGAGCATGTGAAGGAGATGCTAATTCACCATGTACTTACAATCGAACATTTACACCACAAGGAGAAGAATCATTTGTTTTAGCAGCAACAAATGCAACAATGGCTGTATTCTTTGATATTTTGGAAAACGTAAAAATAATTCAATGAATATATATATATATGTATTATTTGATTCTATAGGGTTATCCGGATTTACTTGTATTGCAAGGAAGTAAAAACCAGAATTTTAAACTAATTGGTTTTCAAAATTCTCTTGTACAAGATGTACATTTTATTAAAGTGATGGGTAAATAGAAAAAAAAATTCTTCTTATTCTTTTTTCTATAATTCTATTTGTTTTAGTTATTAGTACGTTTTCATGTGAAACATGTTCACATCAAAAGAAATTGGTAAGTTTAGAAATAAATAAAATTGAAGGAAATAAATAGTTTATTTTAGCCATATGGTAATAATCAACCTGGACAATCGATTAAAATGGAAACAATTACAATTATGAATGGAATTAAAGATTATTGGGTTAAATTAGCAGGTAAATAAAACTTGCATTGATGAGAATAAAAGTTTGAATTGAATTACTGCATAACTCTATCATCTATGTTTATATCGAAAGTTCTAGACAGCCAAAACGCAGGTAACGCACAGACGTTTTTTCAACTTTGAACGATTGAATCTGGAGAACGGTAAGAGGGAGAGATCTGAAATTTTCAATAAACATGTAACTAAACAAGTTCTATAATAGCTCAAAGTTTGAGCTTTAACGGTTTAGCCATTCCCATTTTATAGATCAAATACTAGTCGAAACACACAGACAAAAAAGACCCTTGCTTTTTAGTGAATACGAAAGATGCGATAGATTCTACGAACTACTGCATGTTAATGAATTTTCATGACAGAATATTTTGTAGCTGAACATCAGGGCTATCTATTGCTAAAAATAAAATATGAATTACTTGAAAAATGCGTGAGTTATTGACAAAACTTGAATAAACGCACAGACATTTTGGTAACGCACCGACATGTATTTGCATAAAAGTTTGCTAATCTTAAAAATATTATTTCTAATCTAAAAATATCACTTTAAAATATTGAAATAATAATGTTTATTTATATTTCAAGCGTTTAGCACTGATATTTTATATTCTTGCTAGCGCTTATACATGTTCTTATTGATACAAGATGATAGAAATTTTTCACTTAAAAACGTTAAAAATTAGAAAAAAACAGTCCATTTTGATGTTGCATCACCATACATTCGGCATAGTCGTGAAAACAATGCAAACGTATATCAGATTTAAAATTGTATCTGGAATCGATGATTTATAGCTGGTTTATATATGAATTAATATAAATTTTTCGAACCTTGTGTCTGTGCATTACCAAATTGCTTGGCACTGAGGCACTTGAACTAAAAACCAATGTGTTCATTGGATAGCCTATCAAAAGTAGGCAGAGGATCAGTGTGAGTTTTGAAAGTAAACTGCTTTAGTAACACCCAAATATTTACTAAACTTGATTTTCGGTAACGCACAGACATACATTTGTTGTGGTTTTCCAAAGACATTTTTCTCATAGTAGAAACAATCTGAAGAAATTTTCTTATAAATGAAAAGAAAGCCCAGCTTCTGCGCTTCAAAATGACGTAAGATGCTAGATGATTATCTTTTTTCTTCTCCCGCTGTATACACTTCTCTTACAGCATGATGACTCATGAAATATTACTAATCGATCCACCCGTTTGTTTTGCTCATATTTTTTCGTTAAATAAGCATAGACCAATAAAACAAAAAGCAGTTTCTTGTTCAGAAAAGTGCGCTCTATCTTTTGACAAGGTTCAATATTGCTGAATTTTAACTCCTACTTCAATCATATTGGTTAACCGTTAGCCGTTTTGGCTGTAGAGTAATACTTAATTAACACACTTCAGTTTCGAACATGATAAATCGGATAGACAGCTGTGTAATCGATGCACTTATAATCTTATCACAATAACTAATGCTCTCATTCATTTGTTGTATTTTTATCATGATAAAAATAGAGAAACTAGAATGATTCATATAGAGCGGCTTCGTTTTTTTTTTCTTTAAATTAATTTATCAAGTAAATATACAAAAGTCCGTTATCTCGACGTAGATTAAATCAATAGACAAATAAATCGCGGTGATTGAAAGGGGTAGCTCCGTCTATTAAATAATAAAAATTCTAATATTTTATCTGACAGTGATAAATTATTACAATAGTTGTATAAGGGAAGAACAAGTTAATCTGATCAATGCGGTTGCGTAGCTTGCGAATACACCTGTTTCAAAGGTCATCTCAAAACATATTCAATTCCGTGTTAATAAAAAAAAAGACGAAAACATGTGTATCATTAATCCAATAGAATATGTTTTCTTTTAGCTGTTCAAATGTCACAATCTGGTCAGTTGACACTTGAATTACCATATGTTATAATTGGTCTTGGTTCAACACCAAATTTCGTTGAAAAAATAACTGTCGGTGTTCCACCAAATATTGAATCGGTTCGTTGTACATTATTTTAATTTCTATATGTTAAATTTTATTTATTTTAAGAACAAATTATTTCGAACGTATACACAAATGATTCCGAATTCACAAGTTGTTGTTGTTCCATCTCCATTAATGAATCCAGAAAAGTACTAAAATTTTATTAAATACATAGTAGAATACCTAGTTTTTTTTATTAACTATTTAGATGGCATAGTAAACTATTTATAACACCTAGTCGGATGATTCTTCATACAGGTATTGCATTAGGTGTTACATTAATTGTACTTGCTGGTGCACTCGCAATATTGCAATATCGTGAAAAAGTATGTTATTATTTATTTTAATAGATACATTTTTAATTGATGTTTGCTTTTTTTCTCTTATAGCTTGAAGATGATCGTGAACGGAAAGTTCAAGCACAAGCATTTCATTATGATGCTTTATGATCTGTTTTCTTTCTTTCTCTTTTTATGGGTCTCGAACAGTACTCAGTCGAGTGGTCAAATATATTTCTCAGCTTTCTACCTTTTTTCTGATTTGTTCGTGCTAATGTATCTGTTTTCTGTCTGTTGTATTTTTTATGTTAAATATCGAACATCGGGAAATTACTGTTTACTACTAATATTTTATTTCAATTTAACCAGAAAAAAAAGACCAAAAACAAAAAATCTATCTTATAGAACTCATAATAAATAGTTCTTTTTTTCTCTTTATTTTATTCAAGATATAATATAGAAACATTATAGCAGCTTCTTAATATCATTGGTAACACCATACGAATATACAAAATTAATAACATTGGTAAGTTATAATAGAAAATTTATATATTATAGTATGATGTGAGTAAAGGAATGGAAAAACAAGTAATTAATAATATGTATTACGCTTATTTCTATATTTCTTGCGAATATAGTAAAAAATATTATATTTATTCTTCGTTCTTTTCTTCACGATCCTAGATCAATTAAGTACTAATCTATATCAATAGCGATCAGACACATCATCCCAATAGTATAATTTAATAGTTATTTTCTCTTATATATACTGAAATTGTAACATGCAATCCAACAATTACTACTGACTAAATTGCGTTCTTAGAAAATAAAAGCATCAGATCTATTTTACATAATATACCAAGTATTTACAAACAAAGTCTATTGACATATGGTATGTAAATGGAAAAAAACTATGGAGATAACAGTTCTTCACTAATTCTAAGTATATCATTTTTTTCTATTGCATAAAATTCAGAAAAATAACGTAATTTTCAACCTATGTTTTGAAATCATGATGATAGAGATAGTTTGAAATGTAGTATGTAATAGACAACATTTAATAAGAATGAAATTAAGTTGTTTATACTAAACATATATACTAATTTTTGCGTTCTTTTAGATATAAAATTCAGTTTAACCTACATATACGTAATATGACTCAAACATAGATAATAATTCGTTCTTTCTACGAATCGATTAAGCAATGAAAACTATGTATTAGTAAGAAAGAGAGGCTGTATATAACATAAATGTCGTCATTGTCAAGAAAGAAAAAGAAAAAGAAAATAACCTTTATTAACATAACATTATTTAAATAAAAGTCAATCGATATTTCGACTGAAGTTTCTTAATGGCATAAAATAAAGTTGACTAAAATGTTGTTTTTTCTTCTTTTCTTTATAGATCGTGTTTCCTATTATCAATTACCATATCGAATGAGTATTTTTATCTTAATATAAAATATTCTTGTTTTAGTTAATCAGTATATAATATTTAGTTTTATAAATATTTTCTAGATAATTATATAATACATAAAAATAATTAATATGGATAAACAACAATCGACTAAAATGCCTAAACCATTTGATAGTGATGATGGATTAAATGCAACAGCATCAGGTAACAATCAACAACAATTCATATTACGTGAAGATGATCGCCTTAAACAAGAAGAAGATTATCAACAAGGTATGTTAATTATTATTATTATTTAAAATAATTTAAAAATCAACTAATTTAATTTTAGAATTAATGAAAGTACAAGATGAAATTGTAACATTACGTCAAGTACTTGGTGCTAAATTAAAACGTGAACATGAATTAAAAACTTTATTAGGTGTTGGTTTTGTTGAAGATTTAAAACAAGATTGGAATGAAACAGTTAGTGATATTAAAGCAACAACAGCTTATCAAAAAACTGCTGAAACATTTACTGCTGCTTCAGAAAAACTTGCACCAACAATCCAAACAGTTAATTCAACATTTAAATCTGGTCTTGGTTCACTTCGAAGTATATTTTTTTAACACAAAATTCTCTTTTTCTTTTAATTGGGTATTTTCGTTTTTTAGATTCAAGTTATTTTAAAACATTTGAAAATACACTTGGTTCCACTGTTACTGCAGTTAAATCAAAAATCGCACCATCAAAATCAGCTATGAACTTTAATGGTGATGATAACGAACCTCTTCATGGTGCTAGCGGAGGATCTATGAGTGCAAGTGCAACACATGATGAACATCTTCATTTCAGTGGTGATAATCTACATGAAAAGAAATAAATATAAAAAAAAACCATCGAATTATTGTTAATGAACATCGTTCAAATAGAAATCTATTGAAAAAAAGAAAAAGACTTTTATTTCTTATTTATTCTCTTAAAAAAAATCTTATCGTTGAATTTTTTTTCTTCTTCTTCTTCTTGGGATACAGCTAAAGTTTGTTCCTAATCTATTTATCTAAATATATACTTACTCATTTTGTTTGACTTTTCCTTTATAATCATTCTGTTATTGATCTGTAATCTTCTCACCGAAGTTAAATTTTTCAAAAAAATTACAACAACACCTAAATACAATCGAATAGCAAAACTTCAGTTATACTACTCTTCTTTTTTTTTTGCCTTTTTTTGCTCAGTTTTTTTCTCGCGTTGGTGTTGTTAAAAGATCGTCTTATTTTGTTGTCATGCATTTTTTTTCTCTGTAAAACTATATATGCAAAAAAAGAAAACTTATTTACCAACTGTTTTATATATATATATGTCTCTATAGCACCAATGTAAATCCAGTCAGCTTCTTAGATGAAAAAAAGAACTTATGATTATCATGGTCAAATAATTGATAGGGAGAGAGATCAAGTTTATGTTTTTCCCTAATGATAAACATGACATCTAGATAATTCGAAAACAAATTACACATAGAGAATATGTATTTTATTAGATTAGTGTTTATCTCTTGTCTCTCTTTAAATTCTTCTAGATATTTTTGAACAAAAAAGATGAATGAAATTGAACAATTAACTGGTATCTATCATGAAACTCAAGAAGGTTCTCTTTGTGCTCAACATGCATTAAATAATTTATTACAACGTGAGTATTTTTCAGCTGTTTCTTTAGCTGATATTGCTCGGTATGTTGATTGAATGTTAGAAATTCTTTTTATTCTAATAAATGTTTTTTTCTTATAGAGTTCTTGATGAACAAGAAAGAAGTGTATTAGGACATCGATCTGGCGAATCAGAAAATATGGATGGTTTGTGTTTATCTAATTTATTTTATTTTCTTGAATCTTTTGTTTTTTCTAGACACGGGGTTTTTTAGTATCCAAGTATTACAAAAAGCATTAGAAGTATTTGATATTGAATTAATTCCTTACGCTAGTCAACAGCATATAGCTCAACAAGCACGTGAAGATCCACAATCAATACAAGCTTATATATGTAATTTACGTGAACATTGGTTAACTATACGAAGATTTGGTTCGCAATATTTTGATTTAAATTCTATATCGACTGTGCCGAAATTAGTTTCGAATACATATCTACAATTATATTTAGCTCAATTACAACAGAGTGGTTATTCTATATTTATTATTAATGGAACTTTACCACCTTGTACAGCTGATGACAGACTTTTAAATAATACAATAGATCCAACTTATTATCGTTCATTGACTGAGCGTTTAGATGTGACAAGAAATGATACGAATAAAAGATCTAAAACTTCGCCAGGATCTTCATCATTATTTGATGAAAGAGATATTCAACGTGCACTTAAAGAAAGTGCAGATTTAGATAATTCGGAAGATAAAGCTTTACAAAAAGTTCTTGCGCAATCATTACGTGATGTAGAAGGAATGGATGATACAGACTCACTGAATCAAAAATTACTTGATCAAGCCATTGCTGCTAGTTTAATTAATGATGCATCAGCAGCGGAGAAAGATAATGCAACTACAGAAACTAAAACAACAACAGGGCCAACATTAGAAGGTAAGATAATTGTTTTATAGTATATTATCGTTAGAGAAAGCTGATATATTTTTTATTTTTAGAATTACGACAACGTCGCTTGCAATTCTATGATGGTAAAGAAAAGCCAACAACAGAAGAGAATCAATCAAAAACAAATGAATAATATATTTCACTCTATTTTTTTAATGTTAACTGAAATGATTATTGTTCAATATTATAATATTTATACTTTCTTTTTTTTGTGAATTCAATTCCAGAGGATATTTTCTGTTATATTATTCTAGATACAATCTCACCATTTTGGTATTTATGTATATAATTCAATACATACAAATAGCAAATATTGAATGGAATTTATATTATGGAAAATGCTTTCTTCATGCCATTTTCTTATTAAATAGAGTTTACTGATGGAAGTACATTTTTATAATTTTGTTAAGTAGTAGGATATCTGTAGAAGATTTTGACTGATATGGTTTCGTTGTGCAAGAGAAATTCTCTTACGATAAAGAATGCTATCCAGAGATAGTTTTACCACGTGGTATAACTCAGAATACTGACACTAAATCGTTTAAGATCACTTCTATTTCCTAGTAGTGTCAAGATTCTTTGTAGGAATATATGAAACTTAGTTTTGATATCGTAATAATTTAAAATAAGACCTTGAAATTTTAGATATTTTTTATTATTGTATGAATTTGAGTGATAAGTAAATAAAATAAAATCATGTCGGTTAAAGAAGAACAATTACAAGAAATTGAAGCAATTACTTCAATCTATCCCGATGAAATTACAGGTTTGTTTTTCGTTTTTTTTTATTTATATTTTATACACATTTTTTATTATCTTATATCTTCAATTAGTACAGTACTATCGGAGGATCCTTATCCTGAATTCACACTCGAAATAAAACCAACAACAGATGATGAAGATGAATTTAAACGTATATAATTTATTTATTTATTTTCTCACTCTATAATTATCTTATTTTGACTGTCTAGCTTATCTTCAACTTCAAGTAAAATTTCATGCTAATTATCCAGATCAATCACCAGAAATAACAATTGCCGATTCAGCTAATATTGATGACATAGCATCGATTGAAAGTGAGATACAAAAAATTGTATGTTGAAGTTTTTTTGTTTGTTTATTTTAATACATAAAACTTTATATTTTAGTGTGAAGAGAATTTAGGTATGCCGGTTATATTTACATTGGCTAGTCATCTCTCTGAACAATTAAGTGTTCAAGCTGAAACTCGACAAACACGTATTCGCGAAAATATTGAACGAAAAATACGTGAAGAAGAAGAAATTGAACAAAAACGTTTCTTAGGTACATGTGTTAGTGTTGAAACATTTATAACATGGAAAGTTAAATTTGATGCTGAACAAGCTGAATTAAAACAAAAAGTTAAAGTTGATGAAACAGAAGCCAAAAAATTAACTGGTCGACAATTATTCGAAAAAGATCGTTCACTTTATGATTCCGATATTAAATTTATATCCGGTGAAGGTAAAATCTTTTTGTTATTTTTATATATTTGATTCTTATAAAATTATTTTTAGGTGGTGAAGCTGTTGAAGTCGATGAATCTTTATTCGAAGATATGCTTGATTTAGAATTAGATGAATCAGCTACGATTGGCATCGATCTGTCCGATGTTGATCAATAGTTATACAAAACATTCTTCTGTTTTGGTTCTTTTTTTTATATAAAAGTTGATTGATTATTTGAGATAAAAACAAATTAAAAGACAAGAATGAACTCAATTTTTTTGGAAAGGAAAATCTAGATTTTATCTATGTCATCCATTATGAATATATAACAGAAAAATGTTAACTGTTGCTTGAGTTACTAAATTTGTTTCAGCTGCGACATCTCTTATTCAAAAAACTATTTGATTTCTTTATTTTTACATCAAATCAAAGAAGTACTTTGTAAAATTCTCTAAAACAAAAAATGAGTAATAGCAAACAATCACATGTTTTTTTTGTGTTATTACTCACAAATTCATGATTAAAACGAAAAACTATAATACTCATCAAGATCTAACTATTTCAATGATGTTCAAAGTAAAAATTTTGTTTAGATATTATATAAAGCACATGTGAATCGATTGTTTTTTTTTCTTCTTACCACATATGATTAGTTTTTAGTGAATAGTGTTACTTTTTTCTTACCCTACATAAGAAAGAGAAAGGAAGAAAACACAGCTATTGTAAATAAATAATGATGTCATTTTTACCAATGTGTTTAGATTTTATTTTTATATTTATATAAATATCTTTCATTGAGTTTTATACAATTGAAATAAGTTTTTCGGAAAGTATCAATGTAGTTTATTAGATATTTTTTTACGAGCATTTATTTTATCATATTGCATTTATCTAAAATAACACTTATAATCTCGTTTTCTCTGAAATTCGTAGCATCAAAAAAACGATAGAACAACCTAGAAAATCTAAAGAGTAAGGAAAAATATGTGGTGATAGGTGAACAAGAAAGTTCATTGATCTGCTTATTTTTAGATAGTAATAGAAAAATAGACATGACTGAACGCGTAAGTTCGTATGTGTTTTTAACATATTGTTATTCATGAACTCTTTCTTTGAAGGATACCGATATATTTTGTTCATTCTGTAACGAACCATTTACATCAACAGAAGATATTGGAAATCATTTGATGATATGTGGTAATAAGACCGATCCATGTCCTAGATGCAATCAATTCATTCGACGAGCTATTTTTGCTTATCATTATGAAAATAATTGTGCTATTCTCGATGAAATCACAACGCGTGATAAAACCTATCAGACATCTCAAAATTCTGGTAAGATACATTGATTTGTGCTATTATTATCGTATTGTATTAAAGCAGGTATAACAGTAACAATCAAATGTAACAATTGTCATCAAAACTACGATAAAACCCGCCGCAAAGAACATCAAGTAAACTTGTGAAAAACTTCATATCAGTATACAAGAGTTTCAATTATTCTGATCTGATTGTTTGTAGGAAAATTGTATTTATAATCCAGTAAATATTGAGGAAAACCAGTACTTTCTAACGGATGGCAATGCTAATCATAATATAAGTATGTATTGATCTTAATAATTATCTTCACATCTGTATTTGTAGAGATTGATAGGTCACAAAACTTATATAAATTTATTTCGACAGGATACTAATGTATTAACATCCTACAAATCTTTAAATATGAGTCATGATTTCATTTCTAGATCAAACGAATCAATTTAACAATCTTGACGATGGTAATATTCTTATTCCTTGCGAATATTGCAATAAAGGAATTTTATGGGAACATTATGAGAAGCATATTGTAAATTTATTGATGATATATTTTTTTTGACATTCTCATTTCCATTATATAGAAAGCTTGTCAGAATGAAGAACATGAACGATTACAAAGAAAATCTACTACAAATACTGGCGCTACTCCATGCAAATTTTGTAAAAAGTTCATGTCATTAGTTGGCATTTTATATCATCAGGTGAAGATGTCTTGTTTGTTGACTATCCACTTCTATATTTCTTTTATATACAGACGTGCTGCATGCTAAATCCTCATCGTAATAGAAACTAATGTTGATATTTTGGTCTTCGGTTCACTTTACCTTAAATATCAGTTAATGGTTACTATTTACACAAACAGAAACAATCCACAACATATGCAAATCTTATTATTACTTATTTCATTGAAACTATCTTTTTTAACAAGATATACTTTCTATATCTGTATTATGAATACATTACTATTGCTTCTATACAAATTGTGTTAATATATTATACTCGAAAATGAATAATAAGGATGGGTATTTCACATCGAAATTAGCTTAACAAATGTGTGCATATGTAGGAGAGAGAAGAAGCAGAATAGTCGGTTTTCTAATTAATTGATTATTAATTATAAGAAGGATGAAACATATGACGATTTACTATTTTATTTTGATTTTATATAACATATTTTCATTCATGTTGATTTATTTCAGATAAAACAAAAACTATTAATAAACAATTAACATGAGTGAAATAGTAAGTTTAAAGTTTAGAAGTAATCAAAATATTTTTTTATACAATGTACAATAAATACTTTTTATGTTTTATTAATTGAATTTGTTTTTTCACAAGGAGAACAATACTTCAAAGCGATTTATCTCATGTTCATTCTGTGATGAGAAATTACCTTCATCTTCACTGGGAGAACATTTAATGATGTGTGGTAATAAAACAGATGAGTGTCCACGTTGTAAAAAGTTCATTCGACGAGCTGTATATGCATA